AAGTGTAGCAAAATACTTAATAACATAAATAACATAATATTTCACCAATGTGAATGTAAACAGAACTCAACAGCAGCATTAACAACCATTATTCCTCCCAAATATGGGGAGAGAGCATGTCTTATAGTACAAAAAATACAGTATATGTTGAAACTTATAGCAATCAATGGAACATAAGTTATATCCTGAAGCTGGTAAAATTGTATTAAAATAAAACTCCTGAGGGAAACTGGGTGAAGAGTACAAAGGATTTATCTGTACTACCTTTGTAACTTCCTGTGAACCCATAATATTTCAAAACAAAAAGTTTACGAAGTAAAAAAAAAGCAAAGATATACAAATTTTAAAAAGTTGTATTAGCACTTGTTAAATAAAAGCTGAACCACTTAAACTCTGTTTAAAGCTGTTTGAGAGAAGTCTGTCTCCACAACCTAGTGATGGCGGGCATAATAAATAAAAAATTACTTTTACCACCTCTCCCCCACCCCCCGCAAAAAAAAAAAATAGACTAGGAGGCTTAGTCAACAGTAGTTTATTTTCTCACAGTTCTAGAGGTTAGATATTCCAAGATCAAGATTTCAACCAAGTTTGGTTTCTGGTAAGAGGTCCCTTCCTAACTTCAGACAGACAGTCCCCTTCTCCCTTCACCCTCACACGTGGAGAGAGCAAGCTCCCTAGTATATGGCACTAATCCAGTATGAGGGCTCCACCCTCAAGAGCCCATTTAAACCTGATTATCTCCTAAAAGCCCCAAGTACAAATAACTATTACATTGAGTCTTAGCAGGGGATGGGAACGGGCTGGGAGGACACAATGTAGTCCACAACAAGGACAGAAGATGATTGGAAGTCAGACCCTGGCACAGAGAACGAGAAGCAGCAGTTAAAGGTGGAACTTGTGCTGTCAGGAAGACAGGAGGGAGAAATATAAAATGATTGGTTACCCGTGTCAGAGACCATCAGAAAAGGTATGGAAAACACTCCATATGATGCTGATAATTAGGAGGCCATGAGTATCTTTCATTTGGTCTGAAGTCCAATTGCATACATATAAAACTGTGTATTATATGTCTCATTAAGGCAACATAAAAATTATATGGTATTATGGGAGAGGGAGATGAGAGAGAGAGAGAATGAAGTGCCTTTGGTTAGGGGAAGCAGAGAAGGCTTAAGGACGCCAACTGATATTCAATATGGAACATGGTAAGCAGAGTTTTGTTAGACGAAGACTCGGGGGTGAGAGATCATCTACGTTAAGAGTAAAGTGTAAATAGGAAAGAGCATAGTTCACTGGGAAAATGGAGAGCCGTTACGATGGTGGGAGCATATAATAGAAATGTAGAAGAAAAGTGGTAAATTTGTGTTTATAAGCTGGTAATACTTATAATAACTATTAAACTATGTTGTTTTAGCCCTCAGGGCTATGTCCAAAATAGAATGTAAGAATATCATTTCACAGTAACTTTATAATTTTCCTTGGTCTTTCTAAGATACTTATCAGAAATTATTTTAAAACATTTGATCAGGATTCAAATTAGCCAGGTTTTCCTGAAAACTACTTTTCTCTTTCAAAGTAAAAGTTACTTGAGGTCTTTAGCTCTTAGACTTCTTAACTCTAAGGAGAAAGACTGAACTGAACTATTCTCCTTGAACTTCTCCCAGATATGGTCCTTTAACATAGAAAACAGTATTTTTTACAAACGCGCCACAGTATACTTCTTTTCAATAAAAACATTGAAGTTACATATTCCTTTTTATTAAACTGGATATAAAACTCTCACACTGTTTTATGCTTGGACATTCTAAATTCTAAGTTTTTTAAAAAAATAATTATTACCCAGAATCCAGGGTTGTTTAAAAATTACAGGCTAGCAAGTGATCTCTAAAGAATTAATAATTGTGCAAACAATAAATTTATTATACTTCGGAGATGCAATAACTTGAAGGCCATTTTCCCAATATCTACAGTTTACACACAAGGCATCTGGAGTGCAGGGAAATGAAGTTGTGAAGAGCTTAAACTGAAGGCTGCGTGCCAGCTTGGACTCCACGGTGCTGCTGTGCTGTCCACACGGACAAGATTTGAGGGTGGGCTAATAAGAACATAAACATCTCTGTCTTTCTGGTGATTGCTAAAATCTAGCTTCCAGTTTTGAAGCTGTTGGTTTCCAATTAAGGGAAATCTAAAAGTATATGAGTTGTTTGGCAACATCTGCGGTCACGGAGACCACCAATAGCAAAGAAAATCTGGCAAGAAGCCCACCATTTCCCATGCTGCATCTGTGTGCCCTGCCACCAGCTAGGTGCAGTGGGTTTCACTGCTGTGATCCTCCTCACATGTGGGACATCCTCAGACTGGCTTTCCTGAAGCTGCCTTTCAGGAGAAGTGACAGCAGGCCAGAGACGGTCATACTGCCGGCTTCCAAATCCAGCTGTTATGGACACGTTCTCTGAAACTACTTTATGGAACTTTATCATTCTGGCAGAGGCTGACCAGTACCTGCTGGCCATATATCGTCACAAGTGCACAGCCCTTAGAGAGGGGACCCGTCTTTGAAATGAAATAATATGAAACTGTAAGTATTTGGAGGTGCAAAGAGTTCACTTCCCTGTAGCTGTGATTAAAAGAAAGTAGAAAAGGCACCAGAGGCTCTAATTCAAAAAGTCACACTAGTGTAGCCCGATGACTTATGGGCAGAATGGAGAAAAAAAAAAGAGAGGAGGAAGAAAGAAATGGATGCAATTCGTTCAAAGTACATCAAACTAATAGAATCCTAAAATTCCATAACTCCACCTTCTCTTCTGTGGCTCTACCATGGGTCATGATGACATTTCTGTCTACTACAATGCTCGATCTCCTGCCAGGTAAAAACTCCCAAAGGGAAAGGGAGCTAACTTAACTTTCTGTTTAAAAAATGTCTGACACTTTCTACAATATAACTCAAAATACAGACCAATGTGAAACCAGTCCTCTGAGTAAACCTTTTCTTTCAAAACAAATAAGCAAAAAATTCTTCACTATCTGCATATGAGAAAGGCACCAAAATTTTCATGAAGGGTGAGCACTGGGTTTGCAGTCTACTACATTCCGTAGAATGACATTCAATGATTCAATAGGTTAAATGCCTTAAAATGATTGCATTTTTCATAATCTTAATTCACTCCATATCTATAATTTAATTTTACACTATCTTGAAATTCTGCATAAGAAGATCGCCATATGGAACAGTTAATAAGCCATTACCATGTTGTAATGTATTTGTACAATAGGAATTGTGATTTAAAGAGCAGAAATAGAAAAGATAAACCATAATATCCTTATCCAACTCCACTTTTGACCTGATGTCATTAAAACTTAAATTGGAAAATTCAGTGGTGGTAAGGAATAAGGAAAGAGCTTAATGATTTTACTAAGACATAGCTAATAATGTTAGGGTTTAGAAAATTAATTTTACCTGTAAATATAATTTTCTTGGCTACTATAGTATTTATTTTTGCCTTATCACGAAAACCAGATATTATACATTTATACAAATCGGCTACTTTGCAAAATGCTTTTGTATCAGACACAATAATTCACCTGCTCAACCTTTACTGATGATTAGCACAATTGCATGTCTTGATAATTTTACTGCTTCTAAATATTTGTAACTGAGAGAAGTGATGGTGGCAGTTTGAGGATGTTACTTGCTGAAGACATGACATATTGGGATGGGGATGGGAAAGAGATTCCTATTGCTAACCCCAGTGATCCTGCAACAAGAGGGTATCTGGATCACATAACAGTGCCTGTCCCACTGCTTGCACCTGCTGCAGGTACCATCGTTCCAATACTGAGCTCCCTGGATTTCAGGGTACAGCTTCTACCTGGAGCTTCACTCCACTCCAGAAAAGTCCTTTTCTTCCTCTCAGGACCTCCATTTGCTCTTATCAAAATCAGACCTATAACTAGGACACCTTTAACTGGCCCTTGGCCTTCTCTCATTTCGTACAAGACACATTACAAGCAAAAGAAAGAGGGAGTATATGTTATGAAACTAGGTCAGGGTAGCTTATTTCTTTTTCAAATTTCATAATTGTAGAATGCTTATAAAATCCTAGTCATTTTGAATAGATGGACTAGTTAACAAGTCCCAAATAAATTAAGCCAGCAATTAGATTGTGCTGTTCAAGGTGCTACACTTTTAATATAATAAATATTTTTAAGAGACCAGCTGATAAAATCAGTGTGTGTCTTGATGCCACTTGAGGGCCATGATTCAATGAAAAACCACTTTTAAGTAAACTATTTCCGCTAAAACAAAAACAAAGCCATAATAAACCATACAGGAAGCACAGTATTTCAAACAAGTATTTAGTTGGTTTTAATTCTGTGCATAAAAGCACATACTCATTTTAAGAAACTTATAAAATTCAAAAATATACAAAGAAGATATAAAATAATAATCCTACCACAGAAAAATATCTAAGAATGTTTGGATGTACAATAAATACATAATAATCTCATTTAATATGTGTAGTTTTAACTATTCTTGAGCAACTCCAATTGGTATATAATCAGTTATAATTTTTGTTTTTATAATCATGAGTCCATTTCGGAGTCTGGTCTGAAATGGGTGAACACAGCAGCTAGTGACTGTGACAGCCTGACATCCCCCTTTCAATGTGGCTCTGTGCTTTCCTTGTCATGTATAAGCAATAACTAACAAATTTATACTTTTCATGCATATGGCAGAATGATATGCTATGGAAATCTTCACTCACTTGGGGATTCAAATTTTGCTTGTGAATGTTAATTCCTATAATCCCTTCACCATCTTTTTTTGTCTTTTAGTTTTTAATAGTAAAAATCTTTTTTATCCTAAGAGAGAGAACTGTGCTTGAAAACTGTCAGCTTCTACAGATATTTTTACAATAGAAAAACCTTTCCCGTTTGCCCCTAGAGAAGCAGGTTGATTTTTCACTGGAAACGGCTTCAAGCTGGTCCTAATATTTACTCACTTATGCAGGTGCGTTCATCAGCATGGAGCCTGTATCCTGTATCACACTCACAGTGGAAGGTGCCCAGAGTGTTAATACAGCGCTGCTGGCAGCCCCCGTTCACCACCGCACATTCATCGATATCTAGAAGAGGAAGACAGATGGCCAGGATTACAATGTCATTCCAATGTCAGCTCCGGAGAAGTGGCACAATATTTCTTTGATTCACAGTATGTGTTATATTGTACAAAGGCACTGACTCTGTTACCAGAAATCTTTGCTTGTTTGATCCATTTTTCTCCACAGTGTAAACAACAAAATGTAGATAGAAACTTTATTGAGCTTTTTAAAACCCAGCAACAATGAATATAAAGACGGCCTCACAATTTTCTATTCTTCACATACTGGTTAATTAGACAGATCTGAGATGTAGATATTTCCTTGAGGCAGGGAAACTGGAGGCAAGAATTACAATGAGCTACTCTATCTGGAGCAGCACACATTAGCAGATAAACACCTATTATTGGTCTGATACTGCTGAATAAAGCCAGTAATAAAGTTAAGACCTTGAATCTCCTTCTCCTGTGCTATGGTGGGCATCCGAGAATAGACTGATACATTCAAATAAAACCATCCTTTGGAGTTCTTGAAAACACACCTGTACATTTGGTTCATCAATTGAGCTTATTCCTTTTCAGTCAGGGTTCCACTTTCTAAAATACTTAACATGCTTATGTGAGAGGTTCCTTTCATTTTATGAAAAAATTAAAAAGAGGTCAAGACTCAGAAATGAATATAATATTCATATTCTTTTAGGAAAGAAAAATCCCTATTTCCTTGTATCCTACATAATCAGTACTTATTGACCTGAAATCACACACACAAAGAGATCACACACACACCAATGTTGGTGAATGCTTCTCAGGTAATCAATGGGTTATGAGCTCCTAAATTTTCTTATGAGAAATTTTTTTCTTCAAAATCTATGCCTTTGACACACATCAAAGTAAAAGTCAGGCAGCGAGGTCGATGCTGGCATGGGAGAGTGTGCGTCATGCAGAGAGTCCTGGCTTCCCATGACCTGATACCAGATATTCAGGCAAAGAATGTTGAGCGTGAATATTTTTCACTAAAATATGTTCTCATAATAGACAATTAGCTTTACATTGAGTGAGATTAATTCCACAGGGCGAGGTCCTTAACTGAGAAGACATCCACATTGAGAAGGAATAGTATGACAGTGCCTTATTACAGTAACTTTCATGCTGACACAGTGTGATCTGTTACAACTGCTTTGTGCTATGATAAAAACTGGAGTGTTTAATGTGAGGAAGGCAAAATAATTTTCTCTTACTTGGCATTGCTTTTTTGTGAAAAAATATATAAAGAATATACTAACTCATAAAATATGTCCCACATTTTAAAATTACTAGTCTACCATACTAAACACACTAAATATCAATCTAGTATTTCCCTTCTAAAATGGTATATTCTGGACCAGCTTCAGATATATTTAAAAGAATGCTATTTGAGAGATAAGAACTATGGACTTCTCAAAGCATTAGAAGTTTTATTAAATTCTGGGTCTGAGATGAACAAACCTCTAAGTCTTTTTCATATAAACTAATGTCAAATCAGAATTCTCCATTTCTTACTTGTACTTCATGCAGGGTTTGATATTTATGCTACCTACATTTTTAGTTTTAGGGTATTATTCCACAGGGTTGAGATACAACTTGGAATCCTAATTATGTCAGCCCCTGAATTAGATATCTTTCCTAGGTTCACATTAGATACACAAATAAAACTACCAAGGGCACTATGTTATCATCCAAAACATAGTACCCTTGGTAGTTTTATTTGGATTTAACACATTAATGTCAAAAATTATCATACTATGTCATATACGTGTATTTAAATACATTCAAAATGTCTTGGAGGAGATACAGAGACGTAAATGATTGTATCTGAGGAGGAACAAAGACACAGGGTCTGTGTAAAGTGCAGGATGTGGGTGTGGGGGTGTTGGACAGGAGTTTTTATCCGTATTTGCAGTGTTCCATTTTTTTTACGAGAAAATGTTCAGATATTACTTTTGTAATGAAAAGCAATTTTGTAAAAGGTAATATAGGATGACTTGCCCTTGCTCCGACCCATCAAGCTTCAATAATGTTCTGACAAAAGAAAGCCAATTAGTACAAAAAAAGAACTCATAAGAGTGGACACTAATTTTAAGAAGGATCTTCTTTCAGTATGTTTTAGTATATTCCTATTCTTAATCTGCCCCAGAACTGTAATTAAAGCACTCTATTGGAAACACACACACACAAATGAAAGCAAACCAAACTTTTCCTGTGCTTTGTGTCTGACAGTCCTGAGAAAAACATATCTTAGTGCTTAAACTTACTAGCCTGCCACAGTGCCTTTCTGAACTCAGTCTGATCTATAAAATGGGGTAAAAAAGATTACTGTATGTACTAGGCTATGATTTTTCCCCTTTCCTATTCTTATATGAGAATTTGGACTAGATAGCTAATATTTGAGCTTATATGTAGAAATTTTAAAAAAACAACAAGTAATTTCACTCCACTAAATAGAGGAGCTAGCAAGGCAAGAACGTAAGATGAGAGCGCATGATAGAAACAGCTGCAACATCTCAAATCAGGGGAGAGGAGCATTTGGGTGAGAGTGATACGAGAGTGTTCAGGTTAAAAACCGAGGGCTGAGTGCGCAGGGAAGAGGGAGGGCAACCCAAGGGTGCGGTGCCTGACCTTTGGCAGTTAGACCTGTCAGTTTGGAAAACAAGGTTGGTGAAAGGAAATAAAGTTGAAAAACACATCTAAAATCTACTTTTAATTAATTTGGACGGCAAAGTGCTCCTGGTCTTGATTTAAAATACAATGCACCTTTAGGCAGGTCGAGACATAATAGGCTGTGTTTACACAGTAGTTAAGCAAACATATTAACACTTAAAAAAATCAATCATTTATAGAGTGGTACCAAATATAAAGTAACTGGTTTGACTTCCTTTTTCTTTTGTTGCCCTTTCAGAACACATTGAATTTATTGATAGTTTGGCCATTGTGTTAAACCATAGTTCTCAAACCTTTGTGCAAATCATGGTGAACATGATATTGGGCAAAATACCCATGCCTTTGTCCTGCCCTTAGAGAGTCTGATTTCATTGGTTTGGTGTAAGGCCCGAGAATCACTTTTAAAACACTCTAAGGGATGCTAATGTGTGCCCAGAGTTGAGATTCCCCTGACTTGGTTAATGTTTTAATCACCTAAAGATCTTGTTAAAATGCATATGCATATTCTGTATACCCGGGGCTGGGAGCCAAGATTCTGTATTTCTAACTGGTTGAATGTAATTCTGATGCTACTGCATTATCATCTATACTCTGAGTAGCGAGAGTGTACATAAACTTTGTTCAACCATTAATGGCACATGGATCACAAATGTCATGATTTGGCTCAACTTCTCAACTGTTTGCCCAAAGTAGACCAGTCCAAATGGATAACCAATACTCCAAACAAAATATTATGTATATATAATAAATACATATTCATTATTTACCAAACACCTCTGAAAAGAAACTACCAGTATTTCCTACAATATTAACTCAATAACAGTTAATAATTTAATACAATTTTAGCATCATCTGTTATTAGAAATGACTTGCTTCTGTAAAACATGAAGGACACTTTAGTTCTCTCACGGAATATCTCTGGTATAGGATAAAGCCAGGTTAAATTGCCGTGGTATTAGACACTCATGCTAAAGCTGTCACAGGTGATTTTCTCTTCCATCAAGATGGTGCCCAATGGAGTTAAAAACCAGAAATGTCAATATTACATTAAAATGTTATTATCAAGTGTACTCCATGTGAAGAAACTATTTCTCCATAAACTCTCAGCGTTACATCTTTATGTTAGCTGCTGACAGAAAGCCCTGCCCTTAGAACTGGAGCTTCAGGACACTGCTGGGAATAATGATAAAGTGATTAAATTTTTTTCAGCATTGTCACTGTGAAATGGACCAAGGATTTCATGATTTTTATGCTATAATAAAAGAATATCGAAGAAAATCAACCATGTCTGCTATTTTTCCTTTTTACTGTCCTTTCTCTAAATATTTCTACTATACTTATCTCCAAAACTACCTCCCCAGATGGTCACAGAATATAATAGTGTAAAAGAATTCCATTTGATAATTCCCTTTATTATCAGATGTATTTTGCACATAAAAGCTCCCTTAGACAATGATCCACTTTTGTTTCTAAACAAGGAGAGTTTCGTATTATTTTTCTTAAACTGTGCAACCAGAGTAAGATAAATTATCCTGCTATTTGCCTTTTAACATACTGTTTTCAGAAACCTATTGATTGAGAATAAGTGTTCCTGGGTTGCTTTATGTTGGAGATTACATTAGAGAAGTGTTAGGTTTGAAGGAAATATTGAAGAGTGTTGTAGCGATTTCACAAGATCTTCCATGTGGTTTTGTTTTCACTGTGTTCCACTATAATACTTTCACTCTGATGTACTATAGCATATCAAAACTGCAGACATTTGCTTGCGATGCTGTAGTACCTGATTGAATGAACTTCTTAGGTCAAAGGTCCTGTTGTATTAAGCATTCTCTGGCAAGGAGTCGATAGTCCATAAATGCTCTATGAATGAATAAATGAGTGCGTGGTTTGAGAATTACCTGCAGCATTCAGTCATCCTATCCACTTGTATTCATCAATGCGATTTCTTAGAACTTGGCTCTGACTGCACTTACCCCTTTTCACTCTTGCAGTAAATTCTTGATGTTTGTTTTTGACCATTTACAAGTAGCTTTAAATACCCAGGACACAAAATATTCCTAAGTTTGCTTATGAACACATGTGAGCTGCATCTGTAGTGACTACACACTGGTTGCCTGCTTGGGGTTCACTCATTTTCTTCACACACACTAAATAACTCCAAGGCTTTCCTTCAGGGAATTAATTTACCTCTTTCATTTCATAAAAGTCGTGCAGTTTATGTGGGGCCAGGGAACACCGTTCCACTCCTGAGTCAAAGGTAGACTCTACTTGGTATAATCTCACCTCCATTTGCTACACTGATTGGATCAGGTAACCTCTTCATCAGCGTAC